AATGGTTCCCGCAAAGCGGCGCTGAGCGGTGTCCGGCGCCGGGGTTCCCCGTGAGGAGCCGCGGGAGGTGCGCTCCGGGAGGATCTCCGCGGCTGCCCGGCTGCAGGGCTGAAGCGGTCAGGAGAAGGGGCTGTTGGACGGCAACTGGCTGCGAAATACTCTGTGGAACCGGGAACGTGTTGATTTGGTTGTAACTGTGCCGGGGGTTGTTTCCTGGTCAGGGGTAGCGTTGGCTGGCGCGTATTCCTGCAGTTGGGGATCAAAATACGTGGAAGAGTTTCTAAAGAAATAAATACTGGCCTAAGCTGTGGATGTTATGTCATGGTTTTTATGCAAACCTGGGAGTTAAAGCTTTCTAGATGAAAACAGGACAGTACCGGCTACAGCAAAGGTTACATCAGGGCAAACTGGGGATGGGGGAACACTTACCCTCTTTTTTCCAGAGCACATCTTTCCCTCCCGGTATACTGCTTTTTGTAGCTGTTCAGACCTTTATTAGGATAGTTTTTGTTTGTTTCACAAGTTAAATATATGTTTTCCTCAGTAATATTTTTGCTGGTCAGGTGGCTTGCAGAGGTGCTGGATAAGCACCAGAACTAGTGTGTGTGACGGGGTGCGTGTGTGTCAGGGAGTGAGAACAGGAGGAGCCAGACCTCCCCGTGTCAGCAGCAGCGAACCCTCCGAGCAGATCACCCCCGCTTGTGAGTAGATTATCTGTTGGTTGTTAGAAGAAATTAAAAACTGGTATTGTTCTGTATGGATGCTTCTTTGCATCCCAATAGGTTTGTGAAGGTCCAGTGAAGGAAAGTAATGAATCAGGACTTAAATACTGCTAGTAAGAAGTTGGGAAATTATTTCAGAATTAAGTGTTCCACCGTATTTCTCTCAGCATTTGTACACCCTGTAATTTGTTTTACTTCCCTTATGTTCCATTTGAAAATAGTCCAGCATTCAGAAATAATCAAGAACATTGTTGAAAAGACTGATTTTTTCTATGCTGGATAAGACAGAAAAAACTCTGCTTTGTAAAGACAAACTGGGGTGGTGCCATCTCTTAGCAGCAGCAGTTTGTGTCGCTCTGGGCTGCTGACACACGCAGCGCTCTGCAGGAAGCTTGCTGCCAGTCCTGAGGCTGAGGCCATGTTGTTTGTTGGGACAAGTGCTCTTCCCAGGGAACAGGGCTTATAACATGACTGTGCTCATTGCTGTGGGGTGGAGGGGAGAGAGGGTTTCCACAACCCCTGAGAAACGCAGTCGTCTTGGCCAAATGCCCAATACAGATCTCACCTTTCTGACTTGCGGTGATCCCTGCCTTTCCTCCTGGACGGTCTCTTGTTTTGCAGAATCTGAAAGATGCTGCATGTCTCTGTTTCCTTTACTGGGAATAAAAAATGCCAAGTATTCACCCAACTGTGGAAGACAGCTCAGGTGCTGAGGTTTTATGACCCTGTTCAACTTTGATGGATGTCTTGTAGCAATGGAAGTTGTGCAGAAGGGATTGAAAGCTCTTCTGAAGTCCATGGTGATTTTTACAGAGAAGGCAAAGGGGCTAGTGCCTTGTCCTTTGGTTTTCGTTTTTCCTTTTTAAGTTGATTTCACGAAGTTGTGAATTACTATTAGTGATTATAATCTGTAGCTATCCCAGCATGAATCATAATTATAAATAGCCTTTATTCATTGTTTTTCCCCTTCCTTTTCTTACTTGTAATTGCTCTTAGCATTCATTTGATGAAAGGGAACGTAGTCTTGCACCCAGAATGTATCTTTTCCTACTTTTTTTCATAAATTCCATGTGTATTTTCATACATGATTTTTGCTTGACACCTAAATTGTAGCAGTCTGACTAAGCAGTCTTCCAGTTGCAAGCCTACAGTAAGGAACCGATGCGTGAGGTTACGGGAGGAGGAGAGAGGGAAGGGTTAGAGGGGAGTTGCGAGTTGCTACAAGATGATAATAACGAATGAGCAAAGAGCGAAGACAGACAGAAAACAACTGAAAAGGTCATGCAGGAACGGTAGTACCAGAGTACAGACGCTCTGCTGTGTGGAACGGTGCAGGTATGGAACGGTGTAGGTATGTAGCATCTGTTTGAATCACCTTTGTGCAGCTTTATTTTCAGACATGTTATTGCAAAGCTTTGGTGGAGGGCAAGCAGCAGCTGTAATCTTGTAATGATTTGTGCTTTCTCTTTTGGCAGGCGGAGGTGGAAGAAACACTGAAGCGAATTCAGAGCCAAAAAGGAGTGCAGGGAATCATTGTTGTTAATTCTGAAGGTACTGTGTCAGTCTTGGTTTTCTGAGCTATAACTTATTCTAAACGTGGACTGTAAGGACCACTGATCGTACTACTTGCTTTTACCTTACAGTCTGTCTTTAGCAAAGGATTTCCTGTAGCCAAAGCAGACAGACAATAGTTGGGCTACGTGAGAAAATTGCATTCCCACTTCTGCTCTTCTGCAAGCTTGCTTTATTATTTTAAGAAATAAAATAAACAGACTAAAATAAATTGCAGAAGCTGAGAAATATTTGAGTTGTGCCAGTGTTTGAGACTGTGTTTTGTCAAAGCCTTTAGCAGTAGCACTAAAAGCTCTCATGACATCTGAAATCTTGCTGCTGTGCGTGTCCAGAATGCTGCTGTCCTGGCAGACTCAGTAGCTCAGCAGCGGTCTCATGCTGGTGGCCTCCTGAGACTCATAAGCTGGTTGTCTCTTTTTGGAGTCATTGAAGGGTCCAACAGAGCAGACCTGTTCAGAGCACTGTGAACAGCCTAGCTTCTTAAAATTGTGTGATTATCAATTTCAGTTTAATATTTCCTAGAAATAATCCTTAGAAAAGATGACAGTACCTATATACAAATATATTGAAGATCAGATCATTGCGTGCTTGCATGCAGCCTGTGTTCCTGATCGCTGCTCTCTCGTGATGATAAATAATGGATTGTGTTCTCCAGGCTGAAGCTGCTTGTTTGAACATGCACCTGCCGCAGTTTTTTTGCCATGCCAGTATTTGGTAGTCAGCTGTTGCATTGTTCTGACCCATGAGCTGAATTTTGGCTGGCTTTTTTGTGGGAAAATGTTATCTAATGGGTGGCAGAAGTATAAGGGAGGGAAAGGTCTGGCCAAACAGAGTCAGTGTGTTTGCCCTCATGGCTGGTGCACGGGAGTTGAGCCAAGGACCTCACAGGACTGCAGCAACTCTTACAGTTAAACATTGGAGCCTCAGCTTTGTCACTCTGTGATGCAGCAGGTAATGTCCTCTATAATCAACCCTTAGCCCAGCCAAGCTTACTAGAGTATCATTTAACTGTGATGTTCAGGAGCCTTTCTGAAATGAAAAGCTGTCCCCAGGGAGAAGAACAAAATTGAAACATTGGTATTCCCCCCCCCGCCCCGATATTTATTTTTGTTATTATTTATTTCTATTTATAAATCTCAGAAACAAATAAATGAAAAAGCAAAAGTAAAGCAGTGATGCTAGTAGAGGTTCTTCTCACCTACCCCTGTGGTTGCAGGTCTTAGCCTTTCCACTTCTTCTTTCTGTTTGTGTTCTTTTAACTTTTTAAAAAGAACACTCCTAATTCCTGGTGTAGCGACAATATCTGCTGAGGTTAAGTAGCCGCCCCAGTTGGACCCGAGTTAGTTCTGGTGTTTTGTCACTGACCCTTGCTGTCCCCTGCCTCTCGCAGGTATTCCTATCAAAAGTACTATGGACAACTCCACAACGATTCAGTACGCGGGCCTCATGCACAGCTTCATCATGAAGGCGAGGAGCACTGTGCGAGACATTGATCCCCAGAACGACCTCACATTCCTGCGCATCCGCTCCAAGAAAAACGAAATCATGGTTGCACCAGGTAAAAGTGAGTGGGGTGAAAGCAGGCATCAGGGAATCGAGCAGGGTTCTTTTCTTGTGCAATTGACGCTGTCAGCCGGAGAGAAAAGTTCTGTCTGCTGCTTTTATTCATACTGTATAATCTCTTCTTTTCCAAGAAGCTGTTTTTCTTTCTTCAGAGTTGAAAGCTTTGATCGTTGACCTAAGTTTGCTTTTTCATGTTTGGATGTGGGAAATCACTTTCCTCATTTCCTGTTGATCAAAGTAGAAAGTGTGAAATAGTGTTTGACAGTGTGTTGCAGCCTCTCGTGCTTTGTGTTTTTCAGTATAAAACCACAAGAGCTGGAGAGGAATGTTTCGAGAGCAGATTCCGTTCAGCACTGCAGGCTAAGTGATAAAGCAAAACAGTCTAACAGATTTTCCAGTTCAGAAAAAAGTAACTGAGCAGATTGTAGGTGTCCTCACAGGTTGTAGAATATAGCAGCAGCAACTTTCTTTTCAGGAAACATCCTCAGTATTTCATCAACTGATGAAACGGGAAGCAGTGAGATGAGTATACGTGCCAGGAACTCGGCTTTGTTCCTTCAGACTGCATCGGCTCCCTGATGGGATTGTGGTGGGGGAGAGGCAGAGGAGGGGGCTGCAGCTGCAGCAGGCTGCTCCCAGGGCCTGGGCGAGGCTGGTCTTAAGACAGGCTCTGGGGTTTGTGCTGAGGCAGCCGCTGATTTCCATGGGAAGGATGAAAAGAGGGGAATAAGCATTACTCCAGAAAAAATGCAGCTGCAGCCCGGCCGTCTGCCTGTGGGATAAGGGGGATGGCTGTCTTGCAGCACCTCTCTTGATTCCATCATTGCATGGGCACTGTTATTTCCTAGGCACAAACTGAGTTAAATTCAGTTGGCTTGGGAGCACGCAGTTTCTAAAGCTGAGACTTTTTCTCAGGAAGACTCAAAAATAAGTGATCTGACCACAAGCCTGTTGTGCTCATTGGGAATGAATGTGGGGACTCTGCAGTTCCCACAGTGTGTCAGTGAGATATGAAATGTTGACATTTACTGTTGCTGTGAACAGATACCACCAATGAAAGAATGTTTTTTTTTTTCTGCAGATAAAGACTACTTCCTGATTGTCATCCAGAATCCAACTGAATGATTACACCGACTTGGTCTGATTTTTTCCTTTTGCCCAACTGTTTTTTTTTAATTTAATGGTAAAGAATATTGTATTAGTGTTAACTCTGCTGTGCCACTTCAATAATGTCTGGAAAAAACAAAAGCAGGTGTTTTCATTGTTTACAAACAGAAAAAGTGGCTTTTTTTTTGTATCACAAGTTGTTTTGAGGAGGAGTTGTTGAGTTAGAATCAGGCAGTAAAAAATGCAACAGAATCTTTTAATAGTTAATATAATAAAACTCTAATAATGTTCTAAAAAAGATTATTCTTTGTATGTTTCCATGCTTCTGTCACCACTATTTACGATATGCTTTTACACTCCTACTTGTGAATGACTGTAAATAGGAACCTTGCCTGTCCTCTAGTTCTGTCTTCTTCTGCTGGTTTTACAAGTTACTTTGAAAAAATCTGTCCGTATCAAATTAAAAAGTGTCATCAGTGACTGTTTCTTGTCTTACGTGTTTTCCTTCTGAAGATTTTAATTATTCTCATGATTGAGTTTTTCTTCAGAACATAGAACCTTCCTGGGACTATTTCTACTCGTCTCTTGCTTTCTCTAAACAAGGATTTAGTCTAAGTGCATGTGCAATGTACTCATCATTCCTCGGCTGTTGGAGCGCTTTCCTGCCACTTCCTTTCTGTTCCAGCCAGAGGAGCGTTGTGGCGACGTAAGGCCATGAGGACTGCCTGTGGGAGCTCTCGCACTGTCACACTTCAGTAGCCAATTTGAGCTGGTACCTTCCTTTAGGAATTTTTTATTGATGGCCATGAAGGACAAAAGAAGGTCATCTGGTTCCTCCAAAATAATGAAGGGATTGTTTTTGTAGCCTTAAAAGAGCCTCGTAATTGCATGCAGAGCTCAGGAATTTGTGCAGAGTGTCTGTGTTGAAGAGGTTTGTCACGTGTGTGACAGACACAACTCTGGCTTGTACAGAAGAGACTTAGTGATGATTCAGAAATGATGTGTATTGCCTGCTGCTGCGTGTTCTTTGCGTCCCCGGGTAGCTCGATGCAGGTGGCTGCTGCAGCAGGGAGTGGTGCAGAGCCCGGTTCCTTCCCCACTCTCGTGTGTCCCGCAGGGAAGGGGTTTTGCAGCTGGTGTAGCTGTTTGTGCTCCAGCCTCCTCACGTCCGGCCCCACACTGCTCGTGACAGAAGTGTTTTGCCAGCCTGAAAAGGGATTTCTCCTGAAGTGCGCCTGAGCAGAGGCACAGCCTGCAGCCGCGAAGCGTGCTGTGCAGTTGCAGAGCCAGCCTCGGTGGGGTGACTGCGGCTTGCTCAGGGGATGCTGTTTCTCGTGCTGGTGAGGGATCGCTCCTGACTCGTGTCTGTCAGCACAAGTGTGTAACCCTGGTTTGGCCCCGCTCTGTCACAACTACAAGCCGTAGTAGGAACATGTGATGCTGTCCAGTTCTACACTGAGGAGCAGACTATAAGAATTTCGGGGTGGTCTCAGCAGGTTAGGGCGTGTGCCAGGCAAGTGGCTGCAGTGCAGTTTTGGAGTCTTTGGTAAAATGTTGGTGTTGACTTGGACACTTTTCTGGATTTCAGAGCACAAGGCGATGGGGTGGACGTGTGGTGACTCAAACAGCTCAGATAACCTGGGTGGTCAGTGTTTGTGCTTTTTCAGACTTGGGCATTAATTTATAGATTGTCTTAATTTTTTAGGCAGTGTTTATGAAGGACAGAAGTGCTTTTTGAGATCTCTGAAGTGGTCAGTCCTGCAGGGGCTGGGTGAGGGTGCTTGACAGTATTTTGGGATATCTGTCACCGTGACTTGGTGTTGGCTGTTACTCAGTTAATGAACAGTTTCTCCCATCAGCATATGTCTGACCACTAAATCGGTGCCGCCCCAGGATGGCATTTTGTGCCAAGAAGTGACTGATGTACACATCCATCTCCTAGTCATAGAAAACTCACAGGTAACTCGCACAGCACGTATGCACTGGCCCTTTTATTATGGAATCTTGGTTTAAGCCATGCCATCGAACCAATGGGGGCTGAAATGACGCTCTGCGTTTGGAGTAGATCCTGATGCGCAGCAGCTTACGCAGTTCATGGGATCTGTCGTCATTTCATTGAATGCCGTCTCCAAAAAAGTGCTCTCCAGCAGGCTGCAGTCTCTGGATAAGAACTGAATCGTCAGGCAAGGCAGAAATAAAATGGGACTTCACTTGTCTCCTCTGTCTTCCGTTATTTGTGGCCAGAGAAATGTTTCCTTGGAGGTGGTGACCTGCTTATGTGTTGTGGCTTTCCCTAGTAGGTGGCAGTGTTGCTCGTTTGAACAGTGAAGAATTTAAGTGTCCTGCCTTCTTTGGGACGCTTCCTTAAAGATAGCTGACCTGCTGGTGGCTTTGTGCGGTCTCGTCAGAGTTTGGGATAGAGAGTGTTCAGATGTTTGGGTTTTGGTTTTTTTAATTTTATTTTTTTTAAGCGTACAAGAAGGTCTGCATGGATAAAATCAGGGATCAAATCACTAAATGAAGAAAGAGTTTGTCATGCCTCTTATCAGAAAGGGGTTAACACTTTATAACGACAGTAATAAGAAAATCCTCTGCCTGAGGATGCAGTATCAGCTTGCCATGTCTAATTCAACATTGCTGCTTTCCTTTATGTATTTTCTGACTAGAAGAACGTATATTGGAAATTAATTCCTCAAATGTATCTTAATTGTAAAGTGAATCTGAGGAGTTTACACTTGTTACCAGTATGTGTTGAACTCCTGCTACTGTGTGATCAAGGAGAATCCGTGATGTTAAGCCATTGAAGTAAATGTTTCCTTTCCCGGGTAAGCTCTACAAGGAGAAAATAATTTGTTTGACTGTGGTTAAATATATTTTTATTGTACTTGGTGACACTTCTAATAATTGGAGCAGTTTTTTAATAGATGCATCTTTTGTGTCTTTTTTTATACCAAGGTTGTACTTCATCCTTTAACATTTTGTGTTCGCTCATGTGTTTCACACCAGTTTACTGTAAACAATGAAACTTTGCTTCGGCAGAACACAGCTTTTGTTGTGCCATCCCTTGAGGAGGAATATTAAACACGTTCTTCATGAAAGGCTGACATTCTCTTTGCAGTGGTTTCTCGATTCATTTACAGCAGATCCAGAAATAGCCTGCCCTATTTCTAGCTGTGCTGCGGTCTTTAAAATATTCCGCAGCGCTGTGGCTCTGCACGCAGCAGGGAAAACACCACCCTCGTTAGGTGGGAAATGGAGGGGACAGCCAGGGGAATGGCCAGTGTCCAGTTCTCTTGGTGAGGTCAGTTTGTGGCCAGGGTTGGTGACTGCAGGAGCTCGCAGAGGGACCTGTGGCCTGACCCGCCTCCACCAGGCACCCAGAGACAGACGGAGCTGTGACCTCCCGGAGACAGAACCACAGAATCATTAAGGTGGGAAAAGACCTCAAGGATCATCAAGACCAACCATCAACCCAGCACCACCTCACCTACTAACCCCTGTGCCCGTGCTGGGGGCATGGGTGCCTGCAACCACACTGACCCACCTCCTTGGCCACCAGCACCCACCA